TGTTACTTACACGCATATGTTTTTTTCTAGACCTATTTTTATTTGTAGCTAAGATCATGTAATATGAATAGTTTTATTTTGTTTTATTTTGGCAGGACCTGACAAGTCAGGTCCTTGTGCTTGCCAGGCAGGCACTTACTCTACTGAGCCATCTCCCCAGCCCCTTATATGAATAGTTTTCAGTCTTTATTTGGTTAACATTATAGAATAAGTATTTTCCTCTTTTTTGGAGGTATTGGTAGTACTAGGGATTAAGCCCAGGTACTTCCTACTGAGCTACATCCCCAGCCCTTTAATTTTTTTTTTTTTTTTTTTTTTTTTTTTTAATTTTGGGACAATGTCTTAACTTGGTCACTAAATTGCTCAGGCTAGATTTGAATCGTTAATTCCCCTCCTTCAGCCTGGCTGGCTTCCTGGGTTCTTAAAAGTTTGTTGTACAGCATTTTAAGTAGGTACCAGTTTTATTCCTTACATTTGAAGGTTTAATAGCTTATCAACTGTGTATCAGTACTAATTTACCAGTTTTTGAGCTTTCTTAAGCATAAACCATGAATATGTGTGTGATAAAGGTTTTTGCTTTCACTTTGAGCTGTTTTCTCATTTTGGTGTAGGTCTATGACTGCCATTTCTCTTTTAACAAGGTTGGGTTTTGCTCTGTTGCCTGACTGGCCTCAAAGACACACAGTCCACTTCTGCCTCTGGAGTAATTGCAGCCACATGCTGTGCACTGTGCCCTTGTGTGCCGTGCTTGTCACACTTGGTATGCATGCAAGCCACCCAGAAGGCTCCATTCACATGGGCTGTGGAATCCCACTGGGGCTTCTGGTCAAGTGGGTCTGGGGAGATCCATGCGAGGCTGGCAGTGCTATGTGGGGACCACACTCTGAGAATCCTGTAGTAGAACTACAGCATGGGGCTGAGTTTCCAAGCCAGAAGTGATTATGATCTTGAATGAAACTTGAGTTCCTGTAGCAACCTGCATTAGGGCAGTGAGGCACTCAGGGACTGGCTTGGCTGAAGATTTACAGCTTGTGAACATTTATAGCTGGTAAGGCACGAGGTTCCAGCTGAGTGTTTGGAGGTAAAGATGACACAGCACGGCTCTGCTCTTTTTGATAGTCTTTGAGACAAGAGAGTGTCTGAAGGAACGTAGAAACAAAGGGCTTTGGAATTCAGAGAGGAGAGGCCTCATTTGGTTTATGTTTTGGAAAGCAGGAGACCACACAGAATGTCACAGAATAGTTAGACTATTTAATTGGTGATTTATTTATGTTTGAGAGAGGGTCTCTGTGTAGTCCAGACTGGCCTTTAGCTCCAACAATCCTCCTGCTTCAGTCTAAGCACACTAAGTTTATAGGTGTGCATCACCACATGAATTCAACTGTCCTCAAAGAATTTCAGTTAGCACATCAACAAAACAGGAACATTTCAGAGGAAATTTTTTTTTTTTTTTTTAAGTATTTGATTGGTACAGGGTCTCACAATGCTGCTCGGACTTGTAATGATCCTCCTGTTTTCAGCCTTTCCTGCGCTGGGATCATGGATGTACACCATTACACCTGGATGCTGGCTCAGCATGCCTGAGGGCGGGGCTGGCATGGTGTGTGGGACTGGGGATCGCACCCCTGTCTGTGCTCTTGCCAAAGCAGGTGCTTAGTCTGCTGAGCTATCTCACTGGTCCCCAGAGGATATTTTAACAAAAAAATGGGCTGTATTTTTGAAATTCGGTCTCACTGCAAAATTTGCTGTCACTATTTATTGTGTTTGAGAACCATGAATGGATTTGGGATTAAGCTTCCTGAGGTAGCAGCATGCCTACCCCTTACTTTCTTCTGCTTTGCTTATGGTTTACAACCACAAGGCAGTGCCCATCTTTGACCACTCTGCAGTAGCTGTCCATTCTGTCCATACAGTAGCTGTGTGGCTCAGGGGCTTGAATGCTCATGGTTCCTACATGATGTCAGGATTCTTGGGTGTTGTCTCTCATATTGAGACAGTGCTCTATCAGGCAGGCAATGAGTGAACTGATTAAGGACATTTAGGGTAAGGGCAAGGAAAAAACCATTGGGTTGATCTCTGTTTTTGAACAGTATTTTTAATTTTTTACTGACAAACAATCTAATGTCTTTTAAATTCTGTAGCACATTTTATGTCACAAGTGGTGGACATATACTTTAAACTTCTGTTATATTTTGAGGACACTGGAATGATTTTTGAATACCGTTGCTTCTGCAGTATTTTTTTTTTTAAATTTTTATTTTATCTATTTGTGTGTGTGTGTGTGTGTGTGGCCAGCTCAGCCCACCAGGGGGCGGGGCTGGCTGGCATATGGTGCTGGGGGATTGAACCGCGGTCCCTGTGCTTTGCTAAGCTTGTTCTAAGTAGGTGCTTTAGACCACTGAGCCATATCACCAGCCCCTGCAGTATTTGTTGAGAGAAGTTCAAATACTTTTAGACACTTTGTAAAGAGACTTGAGTCACCATTGTTTTCTAAAAACCCAGATTTTGGAGGCAGCAGCAGGAAAGAGATTTATAAGTATTTATAGATATTTATAAGTACAAAAAATACTTACAAAGGCGGCTTGTGGGTTAGCTCAGTTGTTTAAGTACCTGCTGGGGCAAACCCAGTCTGGTCCAGGGGACCACAGTTTGATCCCCAGCTCCCCATGCCTTACCAGACCCAACCTTAAGGTAGCCTGAGCCAGCCCCCCTCTCTAAAAGACAAAAAAAAAAAAAAAAAAAAAAAAAAAAAAAAAAAAAAACCACAAAAAGAGGTTTGTAAGTATTTTATAGTGTATGTGTTATTATAGTTACTCTTGGCCTGAACCAAATAAAAATGTACTTGTGTTGGGTGTGGGAACATTCACCTGTACTTCTAGCTGTTCAGGAGGCTGAGACAGGATGATTGCAAGTTTGAGGCCAATTTAGACACCTCAAGGGCTAGGGTAGATGACTGGCCTAAAGAGGTGAGGCCCTGAATGCAATCACTTTAGCACAGAAGGTCCTTATTTGTATGTTTCTTGGCTTTGGGGACTGTGAGTCTTTGCTTTTTCTGCTGAAATACTTCATGTTGTTTAGGAATTAGTTTGGTCTTACCAGGTACTTCCTGGCATCAGTAGACACTACCATGTCTTTCTAATTTGGGATGTGTGACTTGGGAGAAAGGTATTCTTTCTGGCTGTGGTGTCTTGGCTCATTCTTCCCTTTGTGGTGGTTCTCACCACATGCACTGTTAAGTGGACTTAACCAGTGGGCCTCAGGTTGGCCATGGAAAGGTCTCATCAGCCACTTTGATATTTAGACAAGTAGGCTGCCTTCTATCTGAAGTCACCTCACTATGTACTCTGGCTGCTCTGTGCTCTCCGTGTTTCCGATTGGCCGCCCATGTATTTTCCTGATCTAGGGGAAAGCAACTCCCAACCTGCTATCTGTCCCTAAGATTGAAGAATGAGTCAAGGAACAAGAGTGTCTTTAAGAGTACCAGAAGTGTACTGAGAGAAACCAAGCTTCTCTCCGAGAGAGAGAGAGAAGGGGTCCTAGAAAGTGGGTGGCCTGCCAGCCCTGCTTCTCAAGGGTGTTCATTAAGCAAAACCATGAGGTGAAAGGTAGGTCTGAGGTCACAGAAACATAAAATTATAAGTACAGGGCCAGGGAGATAGGTTGGCAGTCTAAGCGCCTGCCTGGCAAGCACAAGGACCCGGGTTCAATTCCCAGTACCACATGCCATGCTAGCCCCACGCCTATAATCTCAGCGCTGGGGAAGCTGAGACAGGAGGATCACTGTGGGTCTGAGCTGCTAGTGAGACCCTGTACCAAATACATAAAAAGATTACAAACACAGATGCTTAGGTAACATTAATCAAGTGCAAAAATCACAAGGTGAGTATGAGGTGGGACAGGACTATGGTGAAATAAAGTTACAAATATAGTTGTTTGGGCAATATTTATTAAATGAGGATCAAATGGGGAAGCAAGTTCTGAAGCAACCAGCACAAGGAACAAACAAGGACTTTGCTGTAATGGGTGGGTTAAGGAGGTTTGCGCCTCGCTAGGCGATTGATGCTCACTTAGAAAGTCAGTTGCTGTTAATCCTTAGGGGAAGCATATGGGTGAGTGGTCTCCTCTTGTTGGAACCTGACCTCATCGAGTGCACTGCCATCCACCATTGTTTTCCTCATTGACCTTTTGGGGCCCAGCCCTGTCTGATGCCTAAAGTGTTTCTAAATAACTTAGCTGTTTATATTCCCACTCCTGCCACCCCGGTCCTAGGCACGTAATGATTCACACCTGTGATCTTGCTGGATTCTGAACTCTTCTCTCTGACCCTCCCTTTTCCAAGTCATTTATTTCCTTAAGAAATTGGGTCATCTGTTCTACAGGAATTCTGACATTCTAGGTGTGGCCATTTGCTTCCTGTAGTTGTTTAACTTGGCAGTGTCAAGTCTGTTCACTGCCTGAGAACTAGAATTTAGATCTTCATTAGATTCAGGGTATCTTTTGGGTGGGTGGGAGGATTGGGTCTCACTGTAGTGAAGGCTGGCCTTGAATTGACAATGATCTTCCTGTCTCAGCCTCTTGAGCACTGAGATTATCAGTGTGCACCATTGGGGCTGGCCAGATAGCTCAGCGGGACTAAATCCCTGCTTAGGCAGAGTGTAACTAGGCTTGGGGTTCAATCCCCAGCATGCCTGGTGGTGCACACCTGTAATCCCAGCTCTTGGGAGGCTGAAAACAGAGAATCACTGAGTCTGACCTACGTGTAGTGAGACCTTGTAAACTCTGAAGACCCTGTAATAAATACAATAAAAAGAAAAAAGTAAGTGTGCACCACTGTGTCTGGCCTGGGTTCATTTTTTAAATAACATTTTAGTGGTTGAGCTGGACCTAGGCACTTCCTCAGGCATTAGGTCAGGGAGTACTGATCATCTGGCCTGATCATGCTGGTGATATTAAAACTGATTTTTGGGCTGGGTGCTCATAACCTTTTTTCCTTTTTTCAGAGAGGCTAGATTCTTTGCTCTCAGACTACGAAGTTCTCTCTGTATCAAGTATCCAGCAGCACTCTGTAAGGAAAAGGGATCTCCAGGCTTCGACGCGTTTAGAAACCCTGCTAACATTTTCAGCTTTGAGAAGGTAACGAGTTATTCATAGTGTAATCTTGGGGCAGTGGAGGGCTTGGTTTGAGAAAGGCAAAACAAAAGGGTATCTACTGAAATCTCAGGAAATCTTAAAAGATTTGTAGTCACTTAATTCCAGTGTGTTAAACATGAGTCTTAAGAGTACTTCCTATTCTAAATTCCATTCAGATCTTTTCTAAAAAGTAAATGATATACTCTGGTTTCTCTTCAGATTGTATAAATCTTTTGCCTTTTACTAAAAAGTTAATGAGTATTCCATAGATATTAATGATGATAATGTTTATATAATTCTAACAAAAAATTTTAACTGAGTGCTTAGTACCTTTTTGGTGCTACCTTAGATACTGAGGTCTATGGTTTTTCTTCAGGACTCCAAAGTCTGGTGTTGAGTGGGGTCTAAAATTTAATGTTCTTTCTGCTTTGAGTTCCTTTTTCTTTATAAGTTGACTGAGATGGTCTATTAGGGCAGTAACTTTAATATCACTCATGAATTTTTAAAATTTTATTCTACTTGATAATTGTAGGCCTCATTCTAAAGTCTTTAAAGGAAGTTATTCAATATCAAAAAAATAAGCATCAGGAGGGTATAATGCTACTGAATTAGTTTTCGTTTATAAGACAGGCCTTTATCACATTAAAACATTTATGTGTGCACCTAGTGTAAAATCCAGACTGGCTGGGAGCAGTGTACAGCTCAGAGATGTGGTGCATGCCTATGCCCAGCGTGGTCAAGGGGTTGGGTTGCACCCCCAGCATTAAAAACAAAACAAAACCAGCAAGAGCTGGATGTGATGGTGCACGCCTGAAATCCCAGCACTTGGGAAGCTCTAAGATCATTGCTCTGGGGCACATACTTCCTTAGCCTTTCATATTTCTCTTTTGTGTTTAGAGATAACATTGATTCATCAAAAAAAAAAAAAAAAAAAGTAATTCTCCCCCTCTTCCTTCTGTGTAAGAATACATGAAAGTTTGGAAATTATTTTTTTTAAGCTGGATTTTTAAAATTTTATTGAGAATGGAAATTATTTTATATTGTTTCAATCTTAAATGTTTAATGGGAAATGTATCCAATTGCTTAGGTAGAACGCAGGGGTGGAGGTTGGATCCCTGGCGCCACAGGGTGGTGAGAATTTTGTACTGGGTGCTTTATAGTACATCATTTCATCCAATCCTCAAGCCAGTCAGTAGGTGACATTTTTCTCATCTGTAGATGAACTTAGGTTCACAGATTATTTGTGTGTGTGTGTTTAGTACAGGGTCTACAGGGTCTCACTATGTAGAATGGACTCATAGTGATACGCCTGTTTTCAGCCTCCTAAGAGCTAGGATTATAGACGTGCGCCACCATGCCCAGTGTCGATCACCCCCTCAGCGTGCTCCAGAGGCAAGGCCAGCATAGCTTTTGGTGCCAGGGATCGAAACCTGGCCCCTGTGCTCTACCTAAGCAGATGCTTTAGTCCACTGAGCTATCTAGCTGGCCCTTAGGTTCAGAGATTGAGGCCAAGGTCAAAGAGTAAGTAAGTGGTAGGGGTAGGATCAGAGCCAAGATTTTCAGACTCTGAATCTGTTTCTCTGTGTTATTAAAGTTTAAAAAAAGTGCAAATTGGTTAACCAGAATGACCTCCCATTTTGGAGTTGCTTCTTAGCGATGGCAACTCAAAAGACTCAGTTCTAAAGGGTAGTGGCCTGTGGAATCATGTAAGCTAGGACTACATAACATTTGGGTGTGACTGTGAGAGGTCAAAAATCTATATGAGTTGTGGTTTTATTAATTTATCTATTTTGTCTTTTTGAGGCAGGGTCTTGCACTATGCAGGTTAAGCAGGCCTCGAGCTCATTTTGTAGCCCAGGCTGGTCTTGAACTCACAACAGTCCTCCTTTCTCAGCCTGTTTTGATTTTATTAAAAAAAGAAAGAAACTTTAAAATTTACCTTACAAATTACATGTCCTCTTTAGTATGAATCAAGATGTACATACATCACAGCAGTGAATAACTGTAAATAATGTTTTTATACTTTTTTGATAATGTCATCAGCCTTTTTTAAAAAAATGTATTTGGTACAGAGTATCACTACACAGCTCAGACTCTGTTTTCAGCCTCCCCAGCTCTGGGATTACAGGTGTGCACCACCATGCCTGACCTTGGTGGCCAGCTCAGTGTGCCCAGGGGTGGGGCCAGGGCAGTATGTGGTGCCAGGGGTGGAACCCTGGTCCCTGCACTTGCCTAAGCAAGCATTTAGTCTGCTGAGCTGTCTTGCCTGCCCTGTCATCAGGATTTTTTTTTAAGTTATTAAATGTTATTTCTCAATAAAATTATGGAAAAATAAATAAAAAATAAAATATAAATAAAATAAAATAAAGTTATTTAATGTTTTTCTAAAAGTAAAATGCCTCAGATTATTTGAGGTGTGGATTGATAAAGAAATGAAAGTAATATGCCTGACAGAATGGACCTTTACAAATAGCAAAACAGTGTTAGTTGAGACTGATTAGCAATAGTTTGTTCTTATAGTAAATTCACATATCAGAGTCAGAAAGCTAAGTCAGTGTAATTTGGGGGGGATATAGTAAGATAAATTTTGATTGACATATCCTTTTGGAGATTTTATAACTTAAAAACTAAGATTGGAAACTTTAAAAATGTATGTGTAAGTCTTCTCTTTGCTGGGTCTTTATTTTTACCCTGGAGTGGATGCTTCTCCTGCTAGTGCAGACTGGAACCCAGGGCTCCTGGGCTCATGGAGCTTTGGTCGGCCTCCGAGTGGTTGCTTAGTGCAAAAATGCACAAGGCAGTTCCCGGGTCTGTCTTAGAATGAAAATTGAAAGTAGTATCATGACTCATAGAGTGCTTTAAAACTGAAGATAAGGCCTTTATAATAGGAATGCTTTTCAAGTCCTTCAGCATTACTAAAAGGCGAAAAAAGTCATGAGTGAGAATGTTTGGAGAAAACACTTTTGGATAGCAGGAGAAAATGTTGCAAAGATTTATGAAATAGCATTTTACTGTGTTTTTTTTCCTACACCATTAAAAAACCAGAAGCAAACTAAAATTACCTTGTATGCTCAGAAGTTAAAAATATTTGTTGTCTTGGAAACAGTCTCCAACTAGATTTCTTCCTGGTGGTTTGAAGATTTGTGCACACTCGTGAGGACATAGTGTTTCATTCTTGTGATGCCACAGCTGATGGTCATGTGCCCTCATTGTCTGCAGTGTTCATGGGCATCATGAGAGGGCTCAGCAGATATTAAGTAGGGAAGTCTTGCTCACTGTTCCTAGTTTCTAGTTCAGAATGGAAAAGCATAAAAAACAAAAAGGATACTAAGCCATCTAAAGAGAACCAGAATGTATATATTTCATCCTCTGTACTGGAGACTATTTATTTATTTATTTATTTTGGCAGAACCGGGGATTGAACTCGGGGCCTTGAACTTTCCAGGCAGGCGCTTAATCTACTGAGCTATCTCCCCGGCCCTGAGACTATTTCTTTAATTGTAAACTATGGACTAATTTTTTTCAAAATAAGTTCTTTAGAGAGAGAAGAAAAGACATGAGTGCTTTTAAATATAGAAAGCAGCAGTTTCTCTTTGGCCAGAAATAAGAATTTTCCCCTAGGACGCTCAGCTTGCCTGCTGATGGCACAGAGCCTTTTTCAAACAAGCCAGGTTCTGTTTCCACTTTCTCTCGAACTAGCTATGTGGGTGTGAATGTGATGATTGACTAAGGCTCAGCTTGTAGCTGTGTAGAGATAACATAGCCATGAGTAGTTGGTCAGTTCCTGGTGTGTAATGGTGTTAGCCTCTCATACTCAGTGTCTCAGGTAGGACAACCTGACCAGGTGTGTGTGTGTGTGTGTATGTGCACTTCTTTATTAGAGTTTCCAAGAAAGGTGAATACATGAGTTCTTTGAGTCCTTTCCCCCCAGTGTTAACTTCTTTGGTTTGCTAAGTTTTTATAGCTAGACAGATTAGTTCATTTGTCTTTGCAAGAGATAGTATTTTGCTCTGTGTACCAGGTAAAACATTAGTTATAACTTGCACAGCGCTTTACTGATGTCAGTTCTTCTGCAATTTTGAGAATGAAAATTAGGCAGGGAAGGAAATTAGGGTTCTCTTCTATTTGCTGTGTGTAAAATATGAATTGTTCTCTCCAGGCACTTTAAATTGTATCTGACATCAAGTACTGAGCGCTTTTCACAAAACTTTAAAGTTGTGGTGGTGGATGGCGAAGTGGAAAGTGAATATATGGTGAAATGGCAGGACTTCTTCAGCGGCCATGTGGTTGGTGAGTACGTGGGGGTGGCCCTGTGGCTGGTCTTCAGCTCCAGGTCTAAGGCTGTTGCCGACTTCACTGGTGGGTTGATGGGAAGCAGCACCAAAGTGCTGTGCTGCTGATTGCAGTTGAGCTGCACACACCTGGAAGCAGCGACATTCTAGTAGGAGGCACCCTTTGGCACGCTGTGCTCACGAAAATCCATTTCCTCTATGACTGTAAACATTAACCTACCTCTTATATTCAGGCATGGGCTGTAGGCTTGCTGTAGGAGATTGTGATCAGGGAAGGTAGATGATAAAAGGAATTTACTCTATGATCTATTATATATTTCTTTGAGAAAATATATCAGAAAAGCAGTTACAGCTTGCTTTTAGAAATTTTCTTGCAACAAGAAAAAATAAATGGGATCAAAATCTCCATATAGTATAGTTTAAGA